GCACGAACCACCAATGAGGGAACAACACGTGGGAGTTCGTAACCGTCATTGCAGGCAATAAGTGAAAGGTTAGGTCAATACGATAAGATCGAACCTGAGCTCGACCATGACGTCGCAACCGAAAGTCACATCACGGCCAAGGTCGACGAAATCAATATTTGGGCAAAAAATTCACGTTATGCTGACATACCAAATGTCAAACGCATAACCCGATCTTCGACCCAGCTAACCCAGAGCACCAAATACGTGAGTTTAGCAATGTTGAAGCCGACACGATATCTCAACACCCCGGCATTCCGAGCTTCAGAATACCGAGCTGGGGGGTAACTGTTATGGATATATATCATATCCTAACTACCCACTTAACAAACCATCAAAGGATAAATACTCAATTATCCTAACAATATATCAAACAACCAAGATACTCAGGATACAATCCTTATCTCAACAGCAAGGAAGTCGAATCCTGTTGTAACTGGGAGATCTTCACAAACCCTAGAGGTAACCCTTATAAATAAGAGGCTAAAGACCCCAGGTATACACTTTGAACTTATTTACTATTACTGCCAACACTGTGCACACACCCACGTCTTGGCTGTAAGCCTATTACTTGTGCGCAGTGATTGGGATATTGGCTTCAGGCCAAACACATACCTACTTCTACGGTATCTCTAAGCGCATACCTTACGGTATAGCAATACAGTCTATCCAGGATCGAACAGAAGGTAAAAATGAAAAAGAGAAAAAAATAAATAAATAAAAAAGAGAAGAAAAAAAAATCTGGTGCTTTCAGAGCATATTAAATATTTCGCACAAAAAGAGGTAAGGGGCTCGACTATAAATCACAGTATGTTTATGCCTTATTATAGTTGATATTTCTCTACCTTGGTTTGCTTCCTTTCTACTATAAAGGGGTCATCTGAAAACTTTAACGTGGAGCATTCTAACCAAGACCACAAGCTTGTAACCTAGCAACCTGTACCGTTGGGTTCTATAAGCCCAATATATTCCCTGTGAGGGGATATAGATCATTGTATGTGTACTACTGCTAACGAAGGTAGAGACCAAGCTAGGAAGCAATGTCCCAAGTATGAATCTATCACGAGTTGGGGTGTGCGCGTTATTCAGGGCTTATAGGAATTGGCAGAGTAACAATACATGAGATGCCCCTTTGCCTGGTGATGGGGGGGTATTTATAGGAGGAGGAAATGCTCACCTCCGTGGGTAGGTAAGTTGGGTCAACTCTCCTTGGAAGATTTTAGGGGTGACTGATACTGTTGTGGTAGCAGCAATACTGTTCCTGCTGGGATGGTGGCAGTCATTGCTGTTATCTCTATAACAGGGAAGTTTCCATTTAGGGGTCCGGGAAGACCCTCCAAGAGAGTGGCTACCCCAAGGTAAGGTATTTTGATGTCTTACCTTGGGGATACTGTCCCTGAGGGACAGAAGGAAAGAAGGGTTGATAGTCTCCGGTCAGCAAGGCTAAGGTGGACGCTGGCAGGGGGTTTGGGCCTATGTCACTGGGCCTCATAGACATGGGTCATCCAAAACAAGAGCCCCCCAGCTTGGTAGCAAGCGAAGCTTGGTGTAGAGATGAATGCTCTTGACGGGTTGGTGGAATGTCTGGCGTCCTGGCGGGCTAACGAAATGTTTGGCATCTTGGCGGGCTGATAGAATGTCTGGCGTCCTGGCAGGATGACGGAATGTCTGGCATCTTGGTTATAAGAGAGGAATACGTGTCATCTATAGAATGAGGTGACTACTCGGTCCTTGAGAATATGCAATGATGGAAAACCTTATGATTGTTATTTATGCGCAGACGTTTCTGCATCGTGGGACGTGTCACATTTAATGCGACGTGAGGGGTGTCCTATCGTGGTGAAATTACAGATGAACCATTCATCTGGTCCGTTGTTTCTTGAACGGATAAAACTATCGGACGGTCAGGGAATTCTGGGCATTACGCTGTGAACCCTATTTAAAGGGGGTTTCACTTTGTTAATGTTCTTCTACATTCCTTGATCTTCCCTCTTTCCATCTTCTTCGTCTTGGTCTGGTTTCTTTTTCTTTTACGCAAGTGTTACCTTAATCTTTTTCTTCTTCTTCTTCTCTACTCTTGTTGACTTTGTTTGTGAGGTGGATACTGGTGCTGTTACCTAGGGCGTCTTCCTCTTCTTCTTCTTCTTCTTCAGTTTCTCTGCTCTTGTTAACCTTTGCTTCATATTCGTCTTCTTGCAGGTATAGTGTGTGACTTTAGCCGTGAGCCCATGACGACTTGTTAATCCCATATATTTTACTTTGACTCATTTCAGCTATGACGACCATTGTTGTCAAAAAACATAGTATAAAAACGTAAAAATTTACGTTTTTATGTTTTTACTGAAGTGGTACGTATTAAAACGCAAGTAAAAATTCTCCTCAATAAAAACTGATAAAAATGCCGTGTAAAAAAGTAAAAACAGTAGCAACGCACGTTTCTATGTTTTTACTTAAAACAAAATATGAACTCAGTCTTATATGAAAAATTAAAAAAACTCAACCGAGTCAACTTTTAACCCATGGCTAGATATTAAAAAAAATAAACTTATTTCCATTTCTCCCAAATCAAAATGCACAGTATCTTCTTCTAGCTATCTGGGAAAAAATCCTTGTGCAAGGTCGTTGTTGCAGAGAAAGAAGAGGTAAAACCATCGGTTAAAAGTTTGAGTACCAAGTTGAGGTGAATTTTGAATCATTCTATTACGTTTTATTGCAAATGAACTTGTTATAAGAGCAAGAGAAGAGGATATGCAACTGATGCAAGATGATGTGTTTGATTTGAATCAATTGATATAATTTACAAGTTGTTAAACTTTATTCTTTTTATGTTTTGCAACTTGGTTGTAGGAGTTGTTAAACTCTTTTTGTATTTTTAGACTTCTATCTTATATAATTATGTGACTTATATATTTTAAATATGAAGTTGTTCATTGAATTTAGAGTATTCACTTATGTGATTTTTTTATATGAAATATATATATATATATATATATATATATATATATATATATATATATAATTTTGTGTCTTGATCTTAAGTAATGGAAACTTTAAGTTTTGTATCGGTTCTACGATTTATGTTTCTATCATCCTCTTTCGTTTTTACGTAAAAACTGGATTTTAACAACATTGGTAACGGCTTGGTGATTAAAAATTCCATCTAAATTCTTCGTAAAATTTATAGTAATGAAAATAATTATATTAAATTTATTTTTGAAGAGGTAACTTAGCCGCGACAGCTTGTCGGCTCTGCATACTTTTTGTTCGGATTCATTTTAGCTGTGACAACTTGGTGGTCCGAAAAATATTTTAATTTTTGTATACATAAACTTATTTAATTTATCAATAAATTCTATAATAATAAAACACATAATATTAAGATTATCCTATTATATAGAGACAATTTGGCCGTGATGACTTGTTGATCTTGCATATTTTATTTGGGTAATTTTGGCTTCGACAACCTGATAATTTAAAATTCCCGAACTTGTTAAATTTTCAAAAACAAAATTCTTTCAAATTATTTTTCAAAATTAAAATAAACCAAAACACATGTTTTCTAAGAACTACGTAGCTTTGAATTCTTCACTGCACCAGAGGATACGTCGGAGCGGAACTCTTTCCGTCAGCTAAAATAAAATTCTAATAATTTAGTTTTTCTTCTTCCTAAATAATCATATTTATATTTTAAGGGATAAAACAAATATTTTTTTGAAAATTATTAATAATTTTCACAATTAATTAAAGGTAACCGTTTTTTAAACGGGTATGTAAATGGTTACAATGCGATTAAGTTTTTACCCTTTCCCGGTTGCAGTTTGCTAAAATAAAATATTTTCCAATTTAAATAAAATTGATGGCGACTTTATTTTTCTTTTTTATTTATTAAAATAATTTCAGGTCATTACAATTACAAAGTAAATAAACAATTTACCATAGTATTTTAGGATTTTTTTTAATTTGAAAAATAAAAAGCTCATTGTCTCAACAAAATAGTAGTAGTATTATGAGGTATTCCATGTAAAAATTGAACTCTAATGAAAGTCAAAGTTTGATGTGTACTTATTTAAAATTTGGAATATCTCTTCTATTGATGTATGTATAATTATATACACTTAAGAAGAATGCATCAATATATATATATATATATATATATATATATATATATATATATATATATATATATATATTGTGTTTACATCTAATTTATTTCATTTGTTCCTAAGTGATGTTTTATTTTTCTATAATTTTTTTTGTTAAAAAAATTATATTATATAAATAAAGAACGCGATCATGTTATTGTGTTTACATCAAATTTATTCCATCTGCTCCTTAGTGTTTTTTTTTTCTATATATATATATATATATATATATATATATATATATATATATTTAAAACTATATTGTCTTACATAAGCAATGATAAACTTAAAAAAAAAACAAAGGAGAATCCTAAATAGTAAAAAAATAAAAATAAATTCAAGAAATAGTTGACAAAATAAAAAATCACGAATACTATATGATTGGGTTTTATCAATAAGATAAATATTCAATATCAATTATTAAAATACACGCACCCACATGTGCACAGATATATAAGATTAAAATCACGTTTATTAATTCTATTTATATATGATATTTTTAAAAAAAATTTAATTATGTAAACTATTAAATTTAAATGAATCAATAACTAAATGATTTTAATTTTTTATTCCTGGAAATTGCAATTATGGCAATTTAAGTGTGGCAGATTTTCTGCCCCCGCTAAACACATCTATTAATTCAATTTGGAGTTACAGGATATTCGTACTTATGCCATTAATAAAAAATCTCACAAGTTATTTAATATTTAATGAAATCCACGTAAAATCTTGTTCAATAATAATAATAAAAATGGAAGACTCAGTCAATATCATTTTATAATAGTTTTCCAATTCATTTGAATACCTTATACCTAATCTAATAATCTTTCTCTTCTTCTTCTCCTCTCTCTCTCTCTCTCGCTCCTGAGCAGTTGCAGTGCTCCATTGAAGCTAGGGCAGAGTCGTCGACTTCACCTTTTGAGTAACTACTTTGCTTCTTCTTCTGCTATCTGTGAAGCTTAGATTTACCATTCTATAAACATATCAATCGATTAATTTGTCTTGCTACAATAACGAAATTGAAATATCACAGCAAACAAATTGTTCTTTACTTTGCATTCTTAACTCCAATCTATAATTTCCCTGATAGATCGGACAGGGTTCTAGGGCTTTCCCCCATCGGGCAGGAACTCGTCCAATCTAAGTTGCGCAATATCTCTATTTAAGTCGAATGAATTCTTACTGGGATAAGTGGTTGCCGGAAGATTGTGACTTGAATGGTAATGACTTGAACAACCGATTCTGGTATTAATATAACTTAATAAATTCATCCCGTGGGTGCAACTAATAAAATTAGACTAGGAACCAAAAACCAGACGAAATACTAGGTATAAAGTAAATTGCCCAATGTTTCTTTTTGCACACAAGTGTGAATTGAACACGTAATTTAATATAATTGAACACGTAAATCCCTTACGACTTACGACTAGATCAATCCTAGTGGCTTAAAATCGCCCAATGTTTCCAAATTAGTCTAGCTTTGTACCTTTACGGCATAAACCGTATATCTAAGAGAGGTCGTCTTTCTTTGGGTTGGTAGTAATGGAATGGTTTCCTATTAAAATCCTTTGCTTTGCAGCTAACAGTAAAAAAAAATGGGAAAAAAAAAATCATAGGCGTATACAGCTTTATAACAATCTCTCTCTCTCTCTCTCTTCTTTTGGTTTCTGCATTCTGTCATTGAAACTAAGCAAGTAGTTGTAAATTTGTTGGTTATCTAAGGTAAGAAGTAATAATTTGTTAAGAGCTCTTGGTCATTACCTATTACGAGTCTATGTTTATGTGTCCAAAGGATGAGGTTGTATGATGAATGTGATGAAGCACTGAATATAAGATGTTGTTTGTGTTTGAGTTAGTAAGGGTTCTCAGGGGATAGAATAAAGCTTTATTTATTTATGTATTTTTTGTTTTCTGGGCTTTTAATACTTTATGATCAATGCAATGATTTATCTTTCCCTTTTTTTGGTTATTATTTTAATGCGGTTGGTTACCTTTTATGTCCCGCGAGCTTAAATTTTGTTGGAATTTAGCAACTTATTGCGGTGTTGTTTGTACATGATGCAGTTCTAGATTTTTGCTTCTGAAGCTTTTGTTCAATGGCAAGGGACCAACCGGTTTTTGTCAAAGATGCTATTTTCAAGCTGCAAATGTCCCTCCTTGAAGGCATCCAAAACGCAGACCAGCTGTTTGCAGCTGGATCTTTGATGTCAAGGAGTGACTATGAAGATGTTGTAACTGAACGATCCATCACAAACATTTGTGGTTATCCACTCTGCCGCAATGCTTTGCCATCTGATCGCCCTCGAAAGAGTAGATATCGGATTTCACTGAAGGAGCACAGGGTCTATGACCTACACGAGACATATATGTTTTGTTCTTCCAGTTGTGTTGTTAACAGCAAATCTTTTGCTGGGAGCTTGCAAGATGAGAGGTGCTCGGTTTTAGATTCAGAGAAACTAAATAATGTTCTTAGGTTGTTTGGGAATTTGAATCTGGAATCAGTGGAGAATTTGGGAAAGGATGGAGATTTAGGTTTGCCTGGCTTGAGAATCCAAGACAAAACAGAAACCAGCTCTAGGGAGGTGTCTTTGGAGCAGTGGGTTGGACCTTCAAATGCAATAGAGGGTTATGTACCAAAACCAAGAGATATTGATTCTAAGGGTTCTCAGAAAAATATAAAAAAAGGTGAGAATTTTGTGGCATCATTGGTAATTATAAGAAACCCTTAACAGTCAGATATTCTTCTGCTATTTCTTGATTAAGAGTGTCTTGTTTATTGTGTCATGTTCAATGTTTGGCCTATTGTTGATTATGACATGACTGTGATCCTTTTTCACTTTCCGACTAAGTGGGCTTTGATTGTGCATTGCAGGGTCCAGAGCTAGTCATGGCAAGTTGAATGGTGACAAAAATTTAATGAACAGTGAGATGGACTTCATGAGTACTATAATTATGCAAAATGAATATAGTGTTTCAAAAGTATCATCAGGTCAAACAGACACAACTTCTGATAATCAAATTAAACTAACAGCCGTAGTGGAGCAGCCACAAAAGGTTGGAAGTAAAGTGGTCAGGAAAGATGATGATAGCATTCAAGATCTGACTTCATCTTTTAAGAGTGGTCTAAATTTAAGTGCCTCAGAAAAAGAAAAAGAAGTAGCCGAATCATGTGAAGCTGTGCTCAAATCCTCTCTCAATCCTTGTGATAAAAAGAAAGTTGTTCACTCTGTCTCCTTATTAGAAAGACAATGTGATGTAGAACATAATGATTCTGAAAGGAAATCAACACAACTCAAAGGGGAAACAAGTAGAGTTGTTGCTAATGGTGATGCTTCTGCTTCCAAATTAGGTCCTGCTAATGTTGAAGAGAAATCTCAAATAGAAAAAGCAACCGGATCGAGCAAGACTAAACCCAAATCTTCTCTTAAATCCGCTGGTGAAAAGAAACTCAGTCGCTCTGTTACTTGGGCAGATGAGAAAATGAACAACTGTGGGAGTAAAGATCTTTGCGAGGTTAAAGAATTTGGAGATATTAGAAAAGAATCTGACATAGTAGGTAATACAGATGTTGCTGATGATGAAGATATATTACGTTGTGCATCAGCAGAAGCTTGTGCAATTGCATTGAGCCAAGCATCAGAAGCTGTTGCATCTGGTGACTCAGATGGCACTGATGCTGGTAATTACTGTTTCTACTATGGGTTTTGTATTTAAATATTAAATGATTTCTAAAAGTTTTATTGTCTATCAATGAATCTTGTTCAGTTACTGAAGCTGGTATTGTAATATTGCCAAGTCCACACAATGCTGTTGCAGAAGGTAATATGGAGGATGTTGATATGCTAGAAACAGATTCGGTTACTCTGAAGTGGCCAAGAAAGCCTGGAATTACTGATGTCGATTTGTTTGACTCTGAAGACTCATGGTATGATGCTCCACCGGAGGGCTTCAGTTTGGCTGTAAGTCTCTAGTAAAATGTTTTAAATATTCAAAGCTGTACAAGTTTGATATACTCTATGACATGCCTGATGCTTTCTTTTTTTACTTTCTTCCAGTTGTCCCCTTTTGCAACTATGTGGAATGCCCTCTTTTCATGGATAACATCATCTTCTTTGGCATATATATATGGGAGGGATGAAAGTTTTCATGAAGAATATCTATCAGTGAATGGGAGAGAGTATCCTTGCAAAATTGTCTTGACAGATGGTCGGTCCTCTGAAATAAAACGAACTTTAGCCGGTTGTCTTGCTCGAGCTTTACCTGCAGTTGTTGCTGAGCTCAGGCTTCCAATACCAATATCTACCTTGGAGCAAGGGATGGTAGGATTTTGGAGTTATCTTTATTGTTTTAGTGTATGTTGTGTTATAGTTGTCTTAAATTAAGCCATTATAGATTTATAATACTTTGGTAGGCAAGGCCTATCCCCTACACAAAAAGCACCCACATAGTCACACACATGCACACAAAATAAGGAAATCAACGAAGTTTGAGGTTAAAATGAAATTTTAAATGGTGGAAGAGGAAAAATCAATTCATTTGAGCATGCATGTTATTTCATTCCTTGTATTGCTCAATTTAGGGATATCTGCAATAATTGCAAGATATCAAGTCCCATTGGTCTAAGCACCTAACTGAACTAATAGTTAGTGTTCATTACTGGAAGCAAATACTAAAATGATTTCTCTATGTTGCATTAATTTATTTTCTGTGACATAGGAACTGGTTTAGATTGGCAATTTGGAGGATTTTTTGGTTTTAAAATTATGGTTTATTATTTGAAAATATGAAATATAATTTTAAGGATCAGTTTAAAAAATTGTGAAAGGGGAGCCTAGGCTCAATTGTTCGAGCTGTTGCCATGTGACCTGGAGTCACATGTTAGAGTTGTGCAATCAGCCTCTTGCAGAGTCAAGGTAAGGCTACCTATTATAGCTTCACAGGGTGGGTCGGCCCTTTTCCTGGACCAGCGCATAGCTGGAGCTTTATGGCACTAGGCTGCCATTTTTTTTTCTTTTCTTGTTTTAGTTTAGAAATTTGTGAGAGTTCACAGCTTTAAGGCTATGTAATGCGGATAGGTTTAAGATATAATCTTCATATCTGTATTGAGAAAAGTCTTTTAAAATATCCACTTTCGTATTGTATGTGGATGGGTTCTATGTGAGTTAATTCTCTTAACTTTCTCTCAGGTCTGCTTGCTGGATACAATGTCATATATGGATGCACTTCCAGCATTCAGAACGAGACAATGGCAAGTGGTTGTTCTTTTGTTCGTTGATGCATTGTCGGTTTGTAGAATACCTGCTCTTATCTCGTACATGACGGATAGGAGAGCCTTGCTTCACAAGGTGAGACCTTTTGTTTGTGTTGTACTGATTTATTATTTTATATACCATTACTTAAGCAGGAATCTGATTATATGCATGAAGCATTAGTAATGTTGTTGGATTGCATAGATATCCTTGCAAAAAAGTTTAATCCTTTATTATGACAGTGATCTTTTTGGTTAAGGTAGTTCATTTTACATCTAATATCTCCACATTCTCATTTGCTAGCATTTTGGTAATTTTTCATCTGCGTTCCCTTTATAAATGTTTTGTCACCGTTTATTGGTTCTAATGGGAACCTAACAATATAAATCCCACATAGCTTAGCTGCCTGCTTAATTTTGTTCTCCTTCTACGGCTTAGACTTGATAGCCACTTTTTATGATTTTATAATTTAGTTCATCTAATGTGATTCTCCTCCCATGGCTGTGGACTTGAAATTCTTGTTCCATACTATGCCTTACAAGTCAGGATGACCACAAGCCGTGCACACAGATTGCCATAGGCCACAGATTTGTGGCATGTGCATGTGACTTGAAAAAGTAAAACCCAACTTGGAATTTTCCCTTTTACTTTGACTTCCTCTGTCTGTGTGTTTGTTGGGGATGTTCGAACAATCAATTGCTTTGTGGAAAACGATGTTCAATATATAAATTTAGCTATCTGATGGCTTGCAAAAATACCTATATGACAAAGCTGGAAAATGGAGGTTAATGGTATCTTATTATGTTGAAGTTTTATCTCTTCTCTTATGTCACGCCAGATTTTGATGTAATGACACTCTTTTAAATTGGTTAACCGTTGTTCTGGTATTGGTTTTGTAAAACAGGTTTTGAATGGTACTCAATTAGGTATGGAAGAGTATGAGATTTTGAAGGATCTCATAGTACCACTCGGCCGAGCACCTCATTTCTCTGCTCAAAGTGGAGCGTGACAACATGGAACTTCCAACGTAATGAGCCAAAAGTTGGAACTTATTCAAACTCCTCTAGGACTTGTAATGATGAGTGGCTGAGTGCAATCTTTCTTTTTTTTCCTTGGAAAAATTAACTTTCAAGCATTGGAGTGCTGGGTAAATCTGTTTATAGACATCAAACAGCATATAATTAACCTAGCGTCTAAGCAACCAAATGTGTATATACTTCAATGCTAGTTAGTGGAGTGATGAAAGAAAAATTGATATTCAAATGGACAATAATCTGAAATATTGTCTTATTATGTGGCAGTTTGTATTTTTCTACAAACTGCTGGTGGAGGGGGTAAAGGGCAAATATCTTCTCCATAACTATATGAAGAACTTACAAAAGTCCAAACTTTCTTTACTGAAGGAATGTCTATTTGTTAGGGGAATATGCTTAGACAAAAATATAAATTGCAAGTCTGTGATGACCATGACCATCTTTCTTTTGACTTGCAAGGGATTAAAGCTTTAGCAAATTGAAGTGAGGGAATGCTTGCCTTGTATATTGCATACAAAGCCAAATGTGTTCCTAGTTTCATTTATGTATGGATATTGCTTTTATTTACGATCAACTTGGAAGAGGACCATCTAACATGCTTTCCTTAATGGGAAGCTACGAAGAGCAATGGTGTTCTGCTCTCTGTGTTTCTTGAATCAGAGGACAAAAGACATGAATTGCTTGCTAAAAATAATGAACTGACAAGGCTCTTTTACTATAAGTTACAAACGGTAACAGTTCAATACAAGAAGCAACCATCTTTAATTGCAATACATGTTTATGATAAACAAGAAGCAACCTCTATATTCACAATAATACTGCAACAATAGGTAACATGGAATCTAAGCTCACATAAGCACTCTTTCGTTATACGAGACTACACTCCAACAGTAACTTCATACGATACAATTTCGGGTGTGGATGAATTTAAGACCAGTGCACCATTCTGAGCAAGATCATTTTCAGAATCTAGCTCCATATCATTTTGGTATTCAGAATTGTTAACCGGTGGAGCTTGGCATTCTTCATTGCTTCCTATACCTGCTTTTGCATCTTGCATGATTCCTGAGACTGCAATTTTCGTGCTAGACCTGACCGAATCTCTCAGCTTGGCATGAGTTTTTCTGATTGGTTTATTAGAAATCACATTTTTATAACCCTTTGCCTTGGTTGAATCATTCTGCTGTTGCTTCTTATGTGGGCTAGAACAAGATTTATCTTCTGCGTTGTTCACAGCAGATCCTTTGTTCCTTCCAAGCTTTGGGGATATTGGGCGTGTTGTAGGTACCTAGTTGATAGATAAAATACATCAGAATATATATATTAAGAAAGAATGAATATAAAAAGAGAAAGCCCCATAAAAGAAATTCTGAATAAAGAGTAGGTTCTTTAGCTAAGAAACACTTGAGCAACTATGGTCACAAACAAATTTAGAAAGAAAAAAACTTAATTGTGAGAATGGACAGGCATCTCATAACTCCTTTTAGAAGGCATTATCAGCTGAGAGAACATATATGAGTTACCTTCTTCAGTTCAACTTTTGGAGGAGGTTCCTTGTAGAAACTTGGCATTGGAGTGGCTTTGAATGCCATCCTCTTCCTCAATTGCTTGATCTCTGCCTCCTGGTTTTCCTGCCAGAAAATCAGAAGAAAAAATGGAGAGAATAAGTTAAAAGCTGCAGATAATTTGCCAGTGAGAACTCAAACCACATGGAACAGAATCTGTTAAATTCATCTAGTTGTTCTCATTTGTACCTTTGATTTCTCTTGCAGGTTAGTTTTCTCTGCTTCCTTTTCCTGGATTTTCTCTTCTAACTTAGAGAAGAACTGAGAGAAAAGGAGAAAATAGGATTAGTATCTGGCATATGCAATATTAATATCAGTAGGTTGTAAGGTTTCAACAACAACCTCTTTCCTTTTTTCTGCTCGTTCTTCCAATCTGAAGGAAAATCCAGAACCACCACTACTCTTCCTACGAGGAGTAGCACTTCTGATAGCATATAAACAAAACTTCATGAATAATTGAGTTAAAGAAAAAAGAATAAAGGATGAGAATTCATTCATCAAGAAATAACAATGCCCCAGATTTATATCCCAATGAGATAAATAGACAAGTAAGGATGACATAATTATCTGAAGAGTAATCGTTATCATACGAAGTTGTGGAATAAGCATCATCTTCCTCTTTATTTGGTTTTTCAGTTTTTTCTTGGTTTGAAATCTGATCAACAGGTCTGCAATAATGTCAAAAACCATTAGGTGATAATCCATTTAACAGAAAAATGCAAAACAATCTCCTGAATATATATAGTCTTCATTACAGTGGAGGTCACCTTAGACTAAAAAATATTGATAAAGAACATTATAACTTAGTCAAACTGCAAACAAAGTTTTAGTAAATCTTGGTAAGTTAGAACTTACAGGGATGCCTCAGATGTAGGGGTCTTGGCAACTGCATTCACCAGAGTTGACCTTCCAAACTGGTTGATAGAAAAGTCATGAAAATGGAGACCAATGAAAAGAAGCTTAAGCTACACAAGGAAAGGCACTCAGAGAATAAAACAAAACAAAGATCTCTCTACCACAGATCTTTTAAAGCTAGTCATGGATGTCAAAGAAGCCCTTTGGTTAGAATTTCCAGGGTTTGTTTTTGCTTCCTTTGAGTTCACTTCAGTGTTTGTCAACCTTCTTGGATGACCAATGGAAGCCTCAGCTCTAACCCCATTACCTTGAACATGCTTTGCTTCTGTCTTCACGAGAATCCCATCAATGCTTTTCTTTATACCATTTCCATGAGCTGATTTGGCTGGGAAAGAAAGGCTTTTGGAAAGGTTTGACCTATGTGTTTGAGATGATGAAGTTTTGGCATTCAAATTTGGTTTATCTTTGGTGGCAGACTTCTTGTTCTTTGAAGCAACACCACCTTTGACACCAGGTTCCTAACCATGTTAATATAAATTAGTTAAGGTCGCACATCATGTACACTGTGTTCTAACTGTAAATAATCATTAAAAATTTAGTTGAAAAATGATTCTGATAAATAGTATGTGGTACCTTGGCACGATTTGATTTTTTACTTGCTGCAGAATTGGGGCCTTCAGCTTCTACTACAGGTTCAGATACTTCATTGGTCTGAATTTCTGCATTATAATCGTTTTCAACTTCTTCAGTTATGTTCTCCTTAGTTGTTTCACCAATAACATGTTTTTCGTCCTCCATAGCAACTCCATTTTCAGATTCCATTGTGCTATGAATAGTTGCAAAAAATAAAGTGAGTTTAAAGATTATCAGTTGTAAAAGAAAAACCAATTATTTTTTTCGGTTTCTGAATCAAATAACAGAATACAAAGAACATAAATAGAAAATCCAACACAATATGCACATTTCTTCATAGTTCTACCCTTTCAGGCTTCTAGCCAAAGGCCAACTACAATTTTCTCTGGAAATTAAAGCTTATTTAAGGACAGATGTAAAAGATCAAGAGTAAACAGTGTTCTCTGATCCATCTTAATGTGCATTACTTGCAAGAAATTTCCTTTCTTGAAGCCGACCGTTTTCAGCCCCTTGAATCTTCAAATTCTTAACTTGAATATAAATTCTCTATTAGCAGAATTTAGCAAAACCTGAATTCTTTGCAATGTTTGACACAAATCTAGACTTAAACATATCACCACCCCTTTCTTTAGTTCTTCAAATAAATTATTTTTCTGAAACAAAAAAGATAAATAGAAAGGAAATGAATCTACATGGTAGCCTCAATTAATTCTCCATTGCTATTCTCTACTACCTGCATTCAAATCCTCAGATTCCAATGCTACATTTTCTCAGTAATAATAAACAAACAATAAAGAAGTACTTTGGATCTTCATCCCCTGGAACAAACTCATCACAAATTTAACACAGACCCAGATAAATTGAGCGTGATTTACATTGAAAATACACACAATTCCAATAAAAGAAGCTACGCAGAATCCAAATCAGAGTAACAGAAAAAGACGAAATGCATCTAGGGAAAACAAACGATAAATGTAAGAATTCAGAACTTCTAGATACCATAGATGATTATGGGTACCTCTTAAACTTGGTTTTTGGAGTGTGAGACACACAAAGAAATGGAGATTAAGCAGTGGTTTAACAAATTCAAAGACTGAATTATGCTAAAGATTGGTGGTAATGTAACAGACAGAACCAAAGTAGAATATGGTGATCGATGGTGGTTTGGATTAGAAGCACTAGAAGAAGTGGATTTTTAAGTGCTTGTGGTGTGTGTGTGTGTGTGTGTATGATTGTTGAAGGTGAAAGCTGTAGTTTGGTGACACTGAGGTTCTCAATGAAGATATGGAAGAGAGATTAGTGAAAAGAAAGCTCAAGTGGGACTAGCTTTCAATGAACTGGAATAGATAGATTAATAGGAACTGCCACAATGACTCTTCTACCACTCCTCAAACATGTAACTGTCACAAGAATCAATCATGTTTGTGGAATCAAAAGTGAAAAACAATACATTTACGTTGTTTCTTTTGTCTTTTGTTAATATCTTTGCTTGTCAGATAAATGATCATTTGGATGATTATTACTTACAACAAAAATTTTGTAAAATTGTCCGTTTACATTTTTCATATTCCATGATACAAATTATCTCCTGCAATATACAAAAAGTAGATGAAATTCACTTTTTTTTTTCTCTCTCATCTTCTTAGTGGGTCCCACCTATTTTTCTTGTATCGCATGAGACAATGAAAAATATATTTTCCTATGTTTATATGCATGTAGTGTTTCATGCAATATGAGAAATATATTTATCTATGTTTATATGCATGTAGAAATATATAATAAATGTGTTTAGTCAATTAGTGAAATACTCCGAAATGCATTCTCATTCTTTTTTTTTTTTTAGATCTATGCACCGGGGTCAAAATAGTGTCAAAACTCTATCAAATTTTTAACACAATTGCTTAACAATTCCTTATCAATTAATTGGTTAGTGATTATTTTTCATGTTACCGTTGATATGTAACTTGAATCCTATCACATAACTAAGTGACATGAGAGGATACAAAGTACAAGTAATCAATAATTGCATTCTTATGACTAAAAATGATTTTGTATCAATTCTTGAAACTAACTTCTGGGAAGAGGGTGCCACTGCCAGCAAATTTTGTTATAAAAAAATATGGGGGAATAAAGAGAAGAGGAGGTTACTAAGTCTTTCTTTACATATTAGAAAGAAAAGAAAAAGGAGAAACAGTTCATTTGTTTTTTTTATATTATATTTTGGAGACTTTGGTAATAGACAAAGATGATTGAGTACATAAATTGAAGATAGATAGGATGATTCTGGTTTCTTCGGAGTGATGAAGAGAGACTTGTCCATATATGATGAATTATTTTTGGCTAGCATATTTTAATCTAATAAAGGTTATTCAAACAGGTAAGTGCACATCCATTTTCTTCTTAACTGCATCTACGTGGACTCGCTCATGTAGCCTTGGTTGAACGTGTATGCCTCCTCATCTCAGTTTGTGATCAACAGTTATGTTAAATTTATGATATATTTATGGATAAAGTGTGTGTCATTTTAAAGGATGTAAAATTATATTATTTTAAAAGAGAGAAAGAAGAGATAGATAAAGAAGGAGAGAGAGTTGACAAAAAAAATAAAAGTGTGGGTCCCACTTCTTTGTGAGAGTAAAATGATATAAGTTGTGTCATTTAAAAGGATAAACATTTTTCCCTATATTTATACATATATTTCCTTATTACCAAAACAAATTTTGTTTTAAGTGTCCTTTTTTTTTTTTTTTTGGTAAACGTTTTAAGTGTCCTTTAAATACTAAATATACACCCGAATATCTATTGCTTCAAGTGGTAAGAATTTTTTTTTCTTAATAAATCTATAAGTTTGGAGAAATATGTTATATTTACAAAATTTTTGTTTACAAACTATATATGTACTTCAGGGCAATATTATTAAACCCGGCCCAGTTATTGACTCGGTCGAGGTACTGAGTCACTAGGTTACTGGTTCAACCGCATGACCCGTTATGTAAATATACAATTTATATTAAAAAAACTATAAATATACTTAAATACTTGTAAAAAAAAAATACAATTTTAAATATTTTAATATGAAAATAATAAATTACATATCATTGTCCAACAAAAGAGCAATCAAACATATAATATTTGTGATACTAGTGTTTCAGATTCAGTAAACGACATCTCTAACTATAAATCAAATCAAAATTCCCTGCATATTGCATAATTAAGATAATATTAGTGTTGTAGGTACATAATCTATGTAAGTTAATAAACTACAAATCACTCAAATATTTCAAAAGAAAACAAATCATTTGTGTTTGAGAGTAAAAAAAAGAAGAAATTAATTTATGAAAATAAATTAATTTTTTTTCTTTTTATAGACCGGGATAGGTCATCGGTTGAACCGATCGGGTCACCGGTTTTTACGAAAACCGGCCGGGTCGCACCGGTTCTGTAACATGGCCAATTCAATATGAAAATCGTACCGGTTACATGACCGGTTCACCGGTTTCCGAGTCGACTCGGCCGAGTTAGTCCGGTTTTTATAACATTGCTTCGGAGAGTACATTTCCAAGTGAATGTACTTCCCGAAATATATAATATAATTTATAAAAAAAAATTGGTAAACATAATCCTTCTCAAATTTGAAATGGAAAAAACTGGAGGGTTGTCCTTTATACGAGTGAAAAAATGTTTCTCCTATCGTAAAGATAAAGTTATTTTTTGGAACTGCAAGACATTATCGTTCATGAGTTTTCTAAAAAAAAAAAATTCTCAAACCGTAATAACCTCAAAATAAATCATTTAACTTTATCTCGTGGTAAGAGAAAAATTAAACTTTTATATAAGTCCAATACTATTCGAACTAGACTAATTAAATTTCCAATAACTAGGTGAAAAAAATTGTACAAAAATAGAAATTCTATTATGAAGTGAAGTAAAGCAAATTTTATTATAAGTAAAACAAACTTTTATGTGTGTGCTATTAATATAAGTTGCATAATTTTTAACAAAAAAATAAAATTACACTTCAATTGGTTGAATTATATATAATTTCACAAACATCTTTTATTATATATTAGAGGGGCAAGAAAGTGAAATGAGGAAAGAGGGAATGAATGCAAGGCAACATAATATAAATCACTATTTAAGAACATGGCAATGCAAGGTGTGTAGGGGCCTAGGGCCCGTGGTCAGGGGTGTCTGCCCGTAACTTATATGCCACTACAGACAATAGAGTTAATGTGTTAGGTTAATTTTAAGGAAATTATAAGTTTAAACTTATGTATTATAAAAATTAAGATTTATGAGTAGTGTTATATAATTTAATAAATAGATAGAATTTTGTGTTTGATTAAATTATTTTCTTTAAATAAATAAAGTGATATGAATTACTTATTTCTCCAAAAATTAGTAATTATATCAACTCATTAATTAAAAAAAGAATTTCAGAATTTTCCTTCCCTGAAATCGGAATATATTTTTTAGATTCATTGGCTAAAACAATAATTTTTGTCATGTTACCTGTATGATCTCTACATCAAAATTATATGTTAATCATTTTTCATTTAATAATAATAATAAAAAAAATTTATTGCATATTCTTATGTTGTTATGTCAAAATAAATTATGAAGGGTTGATTTTTCTGTTCAGGTGACGTGGAACGACCATAGAACGTGATTGGTGGCATGTTAGGCCAACTTGACATGTATGTCACCACCTGGTACCAACCATGTATGAGCTGTCATAAAGTGGTTGATCTGAAGGTAAAATCTGCGCCGTCCATATGAGTCCAAAATCCAAATCATTCTACGTTTTCGTGGGCCCACGTTATTTTCTTTGCAATTGAAACGTGATACACTCTACCCAACAAGAGAGAGAGAGATATGTGTATTATTATTTCTTTTGTTTGCAGAAAAAATTAAGGGAAGTAGTGTGTGTGCATCACTGTTTGTAAAACTCCATCCGATCTGATCCGATCGATTCAGAATCCGCTGAATCGGTTATCGAATCGATTTGGGTCAAGTATTGGACCGATCAAATTCAGATAAAATTGATGACTCGGTGATGTAGTTAGGTTATGTATTTTTTTTTTTTTTAAAATTAATTTCATCTTGTCAAGAAAAATATAGAACTCATTTTAAATTTTTTTTTTGTAATTTTATTTGCGAGTACACTATTTTATAATGACCTTAAATTTTAGTTTCCAATACTGAAGCAATTTGTTGAATAATAAATTAAGAGAATGTGACATATGTCATTTTAATGTAGTTGAATTTGAAAAATACGAGTTCAATGTTTATTGAAAAGTATGTTTATGGAGATTTTGAGTTGCAATTTAATTGACATAGTAATAGCGTGCATTAATTTATTTATGATTCATGTTTTTGAGCTTATTTAGTGAACCTTGTTTAATTTATTTTAGATACGGAGAATATAATTGAATTTATATGTTCATATTTATATATATTTTTATATATTTATATATATTCGGGTCAACCGGTCTGACCAGTGACCCACCGATCTGACCAGTGATCCAAAGACTCAGTACCCCGACTGGGTCAATGCCCTGGTCGGGTTTAACAACATTGGTGTGCATTATTGCGGTTGGATTATTATTTTATTTATGTTGAACACCAATTTGAGAAAAATGAGAATTTTTTCCATTTCAAACCAGCATATGATAGAAATTAAATTTTTTTTTTTTGGGTAGACAACAGATGATAGAAATTTTAGTTACTAGCTATGGACATTTGAATTAGACTGCATAAACAAAATATTTTAATAGTAATTCATAGTGGCAAATCACTTTAAAATATCATTGTAAGTTTTAATCAAGACTTATGACATATTTTTACATTAAAATAATATTTATTTTTATCTCATAAACTTTATTATTAAGAAAACATAAAAATTCGTTCGCTTATGATTTAAGAATTTTTTATTTTTACTGAAAGAATTATGATTTATTATTATTATAATATATATGAGTTGAGATCATGTTACATCTGTATAAACTACACTTTAATTTAAAATTATATATAACGACTCTTATTCTTTAATTACGTTAGTTATTATATATTGGTAGAGATTTTTACGGTCTGGATTGGATCGATTTTGAAAACAAAAATCATCTGATCCAATCCTTTTGATTTGATCATGTAATTATCCATTTGATTTAGATTTTTTTCAAATCCAATACAATCCATTTCAATTTTATTACGTTTGGATTGGGTCGATTTTTGATTTTTAAAAAAGCCTAAGATTTGTATGATGATTATTCTGCAAATATCATATTTTTTTTTTTTTATAACAAT